AGGGCAGGATGGAGGTTTAACCAGGAGACAAGTCCAGGAAAGTCCTCACTGCGCTCAAGTTATCTTCTGATCTCACTTCAGTAAAGGGCTGTTCCGCTGAATTTAATGTGTGCGTCATGTTTTGATCAGCTGCAGTTTAAACCTGAACTACTTTAGTCAAAGTCAGAGATTCTTTATTGTCGTTCGTACACGGGGTCCCAGTTACATCCAACAATAAAAAGTAAAATAAAAACAGTAATGAGGTCTAAGATATGAAGTAAGAAAAATATCAACTAAAAATACACTAAGCACTAATAACATAAAAACAATAAACACATTACATCGAACAGCAGCACGAACATGAGTCTGTGAGCAGATGTGCACGCATGAACACAGCAACATGAAACAGATCAGCAGCAACATGAAACAGATCAGCAGCTACATGAAACTGATTAGCAGCAACATGAAACAGATCAGCAGCAACATGAAACAAATCAGCAGCAACATGAAACTGATCAGCAGCAACATGAAACAGATCAGCAGCAACATGAAACTGATCAGCAGCAACATGAAACAGATCAGCAGCAACATGAAACTGATCAGCAGCAACATGAAACAGATCAGCAGCAACATGATGTGATTTTTCACAGTAATTATTCTGGTTAGAGATTCATGAGTCTAACAGCCTCAGGGTAGAAGCTGTTCCTCAGTCTAGTGGTTCTACACTTAATGCTCCTCAACCTCCTTCCTGAGGGGAACGGGGCAAAAAGTGTGTGTGCTGGGTGAGTGTGGTCCTTCATGATGCAGGTGGCCCTCTTCCTGCATCTGGAGGTGTAGATGTCTGTGATGGTGGAGAGTCTGACTCCAACATCTTCTGTGCAGCCTTCACCACTCTCTGCAAAGCTTTTCTTTCTGCAGCTGTGCAGCCTCCATGCCACACATTGATGCTGGAGCACAGGATGCTCTCCACTGCACACCTGTAGAAGGAGGTGAGGACTGAGCTTCCCAGACCAGCTCGTCTCAGCCGTCTGAGGAAGTAGAGTCTCTGATGAGCTTTCTTCATCAGGCTGGTGGTGGTGTTGCTCCAGCTGAGGTTGTTGTTCAGGGAACATAACATAAACTAAACTAACATAAACTAGGATTTATTCAAAGCATGCAAGAAAAATACAGAAACAAGGTGCCAACAATGAAAAATAAATAAATCTACAGCAGCATGGCCCTGTTGGCAGAGTGGTTCTGATGACAGTGAGGTAATCTTCGCAACATGGTCCAGTTAGCAGCATGGTACTGTTAGTGGCATGGTCCAGTTAGCAGGTTCCTTCAGCAGCATGATGATAATAAGGAGAGCTGGTCCATGCATTTGTCACGTCTAGACTGGACTATTGCAATGGTTTATTATCTGGGTGTCCAAATACTTCTTTAAAACGTCTTCAGTTGGTCCAAAATGCTGCTGCCAGAGTCTTAACTGGAGTTACTGGGAGAGATCATATCTCTCCAGTTTTAGCTTCTCTCCACTGGCTCCCTGTCAAATCCAGAATAGAATTCAAAATCTCACTTCTAACCTACAAAGCTCTCAACAACCTAGCTCCATCTTATATTACAGATCTTATTGTTCCATATTTTACTAACAGAGCACTTCTCTCTCAGACTGCAGGTTTACTTGTGGTTCCTAGAGTTTCCAGCAGCAGAATGGGAGGAAGATCTTTCAGTTCTCAGGCTCCTCTCTTGTGGAACCAACTTCCAGTTTCTGTCCATGAGGCTGACACATTGTCCAGTTTAAGACTTTCCTGTTTGATAAATCCTATAGTTAGGGTTGGCTTGTTATGCTGCTATAGACTTGGAATGAATTGTTAAAATTGAATAGTTTTCATTTGATACTATTTCTATCTTAACATGTGATTCTTGACCTGCCATTGTGTATCTATTCCTACCAAACCCAGCCGGTCGAAGCAGATGGTCCTCTTGTCCTGATCCTGGTTCTGCTAAAGGTTTCTTCCTCATGAGGGAGTTTTTCTTTCCACTGTCGCCTTCATGCTTGTTCAAGATGAGAGTTCAGTGATGGAGTTAAACTCAAAGCTGCTCCTCAGATAAATAATGTTCAATTATTATTTTATACATGAATGTTTCTGTTCAATTATTATT